TTGATTCTAGTTTACTCAAAGAATCCTGTCTTTCTTTCAAAGTGAGATAATGAAGAAAATGTAAACATGGTAAAGGAGGGTGGGGCCACAAGAAGGGATCAGAGTTTTAATAGCTCACCTGAGCCAAAGGCTAATGTGAGCTTTTCTATGGTGTGCATGCAGTGTCCATCTGTTATGTGCCGATCCTTAATATTTTACATTTTGACATCTTCTCCAAAACCACTGAAAAAGTCAACCAAAAGTCGACGACCTTTCATCCCCTAATTCTAGACATATTCTATAACCAACTTGTATATTTTATCCACCTCCTAAATCTTTATAGTCATCTTTACAGACCAATAAACTGGCTTCTTGTGAATTTGTTGTCGGATGGCATAGCGAGTTAATTGGTCTGTAGAGACGACTACCGGTATAAATACATGTAGTTTAAAGAGGTGGATGAAATATACAGCCTGGGTTGGTTATAGAATATGTCGAGAACTAGGAGATGAAAGGTCGTTGATTGACCAATGCTGGAAAGTGGCAAAATACATCTGCAAAATCTTGTGCCATAAATTGCACTTTATTTACATTATGGGATCTGTAGCATAATACTAGCATTATGGTCAAAGACTTAAATGTAAAACAATAACGCTACAGCTCTGCAGCTATTTTAGTCATTGATAATGAAGCATCCCAAGGATGTTTGAATTCAAGTTCGGTTATGTCATGACCTTGGGGTTAGGGTTGGCCTACAATGTCAAGTCAGAATTTTCATGTGAATAAGGGGAGTTATGGAGGGGGGGGGGATTTTAAGATCTTCTGAGGATATACCGGTAAGGACTAAGGTGTCACAGGTGAGTGTTGTGGCCCATGGGTCTTTTGTTGGGAATCATATACATGTAAACAGGAAATTAAAAGAAAAAATATTTACAGGAGATCAGTGCTTTATGATTTAATGTATGCAAATCTTCCCAAGTTGTGTGGATTGAAGTTTTTGTTTTTCCTCACCCTTGGCAGGGTTAAGAACAAAGATATAATTTTTAAAATAAGATTTGAAAAAATACTCCAGGGCTAGGATGGGGCCACAGTATGGGGTCACTTTTTTTCAAGGAAATTATAAAGAAAAAGGATCTTATAAATAACATAAGGGCCATGATTGTTACTCAGGTGAGCATTAAAACCCATACACACCTCGATTGGGTCATATTTTTAAACTACATGTGTATTTATAAGTTCCTTAAAATAGCATCGAATTTCTGACCAAATTACCAGTGGCTTATAATGGTGCATTTACATTTGTATAGGACTACTCCCTTAAACTTGTTTTGAAAAAACTATTTACTGGGCATTTGACAAGTTTTCAATGTAGTGTCTGCATCACAAGGTACCTAGTTTACTTTAAACAGACATACAATTAAATTTACAGGTAAAACATTTTTTTTTTAAACATAGGATCGGTATTCCAAGGTGTTTTAAAACATAAGTTTCTTTTGTCATGGAAGTTAAATCACTGAGATACATTAAATGCTTCTTAGCCAATCGGAGTTTGACAATTTTTTAAAAGGACAGCAAAACTATCTTCCTGGTCTGCATGGTGCTATCTCAGGCAACCAGAAATAACTTAAATCTAGAACAGCTACTTGAATGAAAATTATATATTACATGCAGTTTATGAAGCCAAGAAAAGATGAATTTGTTACGTCATTAATTAAAGTTGGTAATCATAATAGCGGAGAAAATCCTATGGTAAATATATCTAGCAAACCAGGAGTTAAAATGTTAATTCTTTAAGATAATTATGTTATACAGGTCAGTTTTAATCATTAATATTAATATAATATTTTTATGCCCCCGGATCGAAAGATCCCGAGGGTATATTGTTTTTGTCCTGTCTGTCTGTTTGTCTAGTTGTCAGTTTGTCTGTCTGTCTGTTGTCAACTTTAACTTGCCCATAACTGTTGATTGGTTGGAGCTATGACTTTCATATTTCACATGTGTATTCCTTGTGACAAGACCTTTCTTTGGGTACCATCATATTTGACCTTTTGACCTTGATCTTGGAGTTTGACCCACTTTTGCAAAATTTTATGAGACTTTAACCTTGGCCATAACTTCTGAACAGTGGTGCTTGGGGTTTCAAACTTCACATGTATATTCTTTGTGACACGGACTTCCTTTGGATACCAGAAACTGTGATCTTTTGATTTTGACCTTGACCTTGGAGTTTGACCTACTTTTGAAAAACTTTAACCTTGGCCATAACTTTTGAATGGTTGGAGCTGGGGCTTTCATACTTCATAATATATGTAATCCTTGTGACAAGACCTTCCTTTGGACACCAACCACTATGACCTTTTGACCTTGACCTTGGAGTTTGACCTACTTTTGAAAAACTTTAACCTTGGCCATAACTTTTGATTGGTTGGAGCTAGGGCTTTCATACTTCTTATATGTAATCCTTGTGTCATAACCTTCCATTGGATACCAACCACTTTGACCCTTTGACCTTGACATAGGAGTTTGACCTACTTTTGAAAAACTTTAACTTTGGCCATAACTTTTGAATGGTTGGTGCTAGGGCTTTCATACTTCACATATGTAATTCCTGTGACAAGACCTTCCTTTGGATACCAACCACTTTGACCTTGACGTTTTACTTACTTTTAAAAAAACTTTAACCTTCGCCCCAACTTTTGAACAGTTGCAGCTAGGTCTTTCAAATTTCACAGGTATATTCCTCGAGACAAGACCTTTCTTTGGGTACCAACCTTTTTCTATCTTTTGGCCTGGATTTTGACTTGCATTTGAGAAACTTTAACCTTCGCCATAAGATACATCCATACGGGGGCATCAGTGTTTCACAAACACATCTTGTTATTCTTTTATTTTTTGGCAATACTGTTTAAATGAAAGACATCATGCTAAGACTTTTTTATAGGACTTCATGCAGTGACCTTAGTTCAATATTGACCTCAAATCACCTAGACCAAAGATATTTAAAAACTATTTTAATGTGAGATTCTGAAGTAAGAAACTCAATGAGTGGTTATTAAATATCTGAATACATGTAATAAATCACCAGTTCTACATAAAGTCATTTTATTCACCTCTGATAAGTTGGTTAATCCTCATAGCTTTATTTGATATAAGCTGTGCTGGGTGCTGGTTCATTAAGTTCTTAAATTGATATCATCATCATGGAAACTGTTTATTAAGTTGTTTTGAACATGTTGAAAGATTTTAAAGTTCTGCAAATTAAGACAGGTCAAGCAATTATTGCAAAATAAAAAATGTCATACAGTGAAAAGTTTCGAAATTGGTTTGAAAAGCATGAAATTATTTAATTTGCATCAGTTAATTTGTACATGTTGACATTCTCTTAAGTAAAGTTTGCATGTACTAGGATTACCTTGGTAGTCTGCGTTGTGTTGCATTTATCTATTTGATAAAAGCTTTGTATAATGCCATTGTAGTACATATATGTAAATAAATTATTTATCAGATAATCATGATAATAGAACTTTTACCCATTACACACCTGGTTGATTGTTTCATAATCAATTGTTCAGTCTATATATCACTCCTGCATGTGCTAGCATCTTGAAGTCGATAAATACATACAAAAAGTCACCAAGTGTGAAGTACTTTCAGTGTCTTTCATGGACATGCTAGAGTGATGTATTTATGAGCATTATTTTAAGGGGATTGTCAATGATGTGGTGGGCTTTCTATCAGATTTATGCATTTTTCAGCCTGGCTGCACACACACATGACGTTCTTCCTATTTGGGTTTTCCTGTTGTGTTATTTTTAGATCTTTCTAGGTCCTCAGTCCCCATTCAATGGAAGTTTTGTCAACAAGTTAGCTCGACTGGGATCAGTGTGTATTGTTTATTTACAGTTTTTGAATTCTACATGTATACAGAAAATGCTACTATTGATGGAAAATGCTTTCACAGAGTAAGTGTTAAAATTTTTTTATGTGTCATTGTGTGAAGTGAATTTGTGAGTTCTGGAAGTCTAAAATGTTTGGCAGGATGCATAACACACTGTAAAATTTAAATTCCATTAAGTTCAACATGTTCAGTGTTGCATGAAATCAGACTATTAGGTCATGGAATATTTTTCAAAATAGTTGTTATTTTAGCCTTTAGTGGTTCATAGGCCATGAAAAATAGTTTTAGGATACAGGGAAATAATGCTATTGAAGAAAATCTTTAGCATGCAATACTTCAAAAAAAAAAAAAAATGAATGCAATATACTGGAACTTGAATGATATAATGGTTATTAGGTATTTAAAATCATAAATAAATTTTGAATAGTGCCAACTTACAGGAGAAAAAAATGAGCTGGTATATATTGTAACACTGCATGTATAAAATGTAAAATAAAAAATAAAGTTAATATATGGATTTGGAAAATTTGAAACAATTTTCAGAATGGGAAGGGGATTTTAGCTGATGTAGAAATGACATGGATGTTACTTGTTACATTTATTTTACAATTTTGATTTGGAATCATTATTCTGATAACACTTTTCTTCCATCAACAAGTTCAAAAGTCGACAGTGATCGTATTGAAATTTGAATTTGAGGCCGCATGTTTTCAGCCGTAATCAGACAAGTTAGGGGTCTAAAGTAGATGAAGCCAATTATGTAGGCGACATGGAGTTTGAGTTAAAATATATGAGGAGAGGCAAGGTCTGGGTGAAAAGTGTAAACAATAGAGAAACTAAGATTGTTTTGGGTTATACATATTAGAACAGATAGCTTAGTAAGTACTTAGATCATGTAGATGGTACTTAGAGATTGCATGCCTATTGTTTAAGTTTGCGTCCAAAGTCTAACCCACAATTTTCCCTCCTTTTTTTTATGAAACAGCTTGCAGAATTTCCATATAATAGACCCATTATTTTAGTTATGCTGTCAAGGCAGTGCACAAATGCACATTGTAATGTGGTAAAAAACTACCAAATGGAATATGTATATCCAATTTAATCAAGTTTCTCTTCTCTGCAGATTAATGGTGCAGCATCATGCAGTAAAACATTTAGAGGATGCCCAAGCGACACGCCCCACAGCCACCCCCCACTGGTGACACACCTCCCGATTCTCCAGCCCCTCCCCCTCCTGGTCCACTTACCCAGAAACGCAGCCAATCATCTCTTGGAAGTCGGTCCTCTGTTAGTACTCAGGGCTCAGACATGGGGCACAATTCATTAGACGGTCGGCTCGATTACAGGAAACTACGATATTTTTACTCGAATTTCACAAACCAAGAAGAGGTATCCATCTGAAAAGTTGAAAACTATTTAATAAGGACATGTAGTGTTTATTTAATATAACTTGTAGTAATGTAGCCTTAGAAAAAGTATATCTACTATAGTATTTTAAAATTTAATTCAGAGATTTGGTAGATTATTGGCTATATTGCTTCATACAGTGTGTATATTTTTGAAATTCTCTCTGTTGAAAATGATAGACGTTTACAACTTAAACATTTGTTTCTTTACAGAAGGATTATTCATGATCAAATGTTACTTTATTTTAGGGATAAAATAAAAAAAATATATGATTAACATTAATTTGCATGATTAAAGAGGACACCAGTCATTAAAAATATAATAAAAGTAGAGGTTCACCTTGCATTGACTCAAATTTGTCTCATTTGATGGATGATCATTGCATTAAGCCTTCAAAGACAAGCAGAAATCTGTCAACTTTTTTTTTTCTGTGACTTAGGTTTGTCAGTATCTGAGTCACCATTCCAAGAAAACACCGGGGTTTTTCCTGCTGCGGCCAAGTTTTAGCAACAGAAGTTCAATCTCCATATCCACCATGTAAGGATTTTTTAAAAAAAAGTTATCTTTATGTACATTGTTACTTCAAGGAATGTTCATTAGAACACTAGAAAAACCTTAAGGTCATTTCAAAATTTAAATAAAACTTTTTTTTCCTTCCAGTGTGTCTGATAGGACTGTTCGCCATACAAATATCAAAATTGAAGGTGGCTCAGGAACAAAATTTTTCTATTTAGTACCAGAAGTAAAGTTTCATTCAGTGCATGAACTCATAACATATTATTCACAAAATGAAGTGAAAAATCTGCAGAAAGTGAACAATGTGCGCTTCTTGTATCCATTGGAAAAGCGGAATTCAGAGTCTCGAAATGGAAGTGTTTCACAGGATGGATCAGGTAGCTCAGCTAGTGGTAGCCATTATCAATCACCACAAGATGTGTCGGCTGGGGCAGAACATCCCCCTGCTCTACCCACAAGGCCCCGGGACTTACCCCGCCTCTCTTCCCAGCAGTCCCTAGGGTTACACAGTCCTAGTAGTAATAGTTTAACCTCCTTTGGAAGTCCAGACGGTATGCACAATGGCAGTGTCTCAGGCAGTCAGTTGTCCCTTGCTAGTGGGGGAAGTGGTAGCAGGGGTCGACATCATGCATCTGCGTCTTCAATAGATTCTCGTCCTCCTGCTATGCTTCCTCTTGGCCATACTGGTAAAGATGGCAACCCATATTATTCAAGTCCCAGAAATGTGGATGAAGACATTACAGATAGGTTGAAAGAGGTACTGAAACAAAGTGAAGTTTGTGATTGTGGCATTCCAAGAGACAAAGCTGAGCTTCCTTTGGGCTGGCAAGTGCACCGAAGCAAAGACCCTGCTACCTTTGGAAGAATCTTCTTTCAGAACAACAAAGGTCAGACCTCCTGGAAGCTTCCAGCAGAGGTGCACAGTAGACTGAATATTGTGCAGCAACAGAATCTAGAAGAATTAAGAAATGAGAGCATGCAAATCCCAGTGACTCCAACTAGAAGAGTGATTAGTGATGTGACAAAGTTCTAAATTGTGCTGACCGCATAGTCAAGGATGTTTAATATGCAGTGGCGCTCAAATACATTTGTGATATTACATACTTCATGTGAATCAGTGGAAGTGACTTCTTTTTTTTTAAAGACAATTTGCTGGCTGTGATTTTAATACTGAATCAGAAATTGTGTACCATGATGGTAAAACCGTAATATGCAGGTCAATCTCTTCCATGGAAATCAATTCCTGGTATCATGTTAGCCAGGAACTGTAATGATGTCAGAATATATATGTGTTGTGATTTCAATGAAGTCCCTGTTATCCTAAAACAGAGATAGGGAGAATTCATTTCTTCCTTGTTTTCATAGTTAAAACAGTGCTATGTATTTGACCAAAGCATTCTATAAAGGATGTGTTAAAAAGGAAGTGAAGTTGAAGTGGCATACAAACCTTTGCAACAAAATGTGAAACTATCTTTGCAGGAAATTATACACATCAATTTATTGCTTTCCTCATAATTTCACTTTTTTTTTAAAATTTGTGCCTTCTTTCAATCATTTCTATACAATCTGAATATTATGTCCAGTAATAACCCCTTCTTCATCATGTTCATAGTCATGATTATCAATGTAGCATTATTGCACATCTCTAACATAAAATTTGGTTATGCAATATACATGCAGCTTTCATGAACAATTACAGATTATTCATATTTAATGAATGTATGTATATCTATATTTGCACAACTAACACCCCTGTCAGCTGTTTTATTTGAAAAATATAAATCCTCTCAAGAAGTCCATTATACGTTAGTCAGGCAGTACATTTATCTTGCATCACGATGATCACATGCATTCATTTGTACATGTTGTAGTGTTTCTTAGCATGAATTGATAAGTCTTTGAACATTTATTTTTAAAATCGATAGGTAAAGGGAAGTTTTTTTTAAATTAAATTAGAAATTAGATAAGTCATATGTTTGTATAAGATTGTACTATTACTTGTAAACCATTCAATTCTGGCTCACTTTTAAAGATATGGAAAAGGTTTTTTTCCACCCCTGCATTCCAGAAAGATGCATCCTTGATTTAATTTTTCAACGGATTTTAAGACAGGTATCTTTGTAAGCATTCCTGTTTATGTATTGAAGATGTTTTTGTCGAAGTTTTCTAGATGGATGATCTCGTTAAAAGTTTTTGAAGCAAAACCTTATTTTGACTGTAAGAATAGAGCAATAACTTCAATGGGTAAAATATACTTTAAATTCATCCCCTGGCCTGTATGGTCTTACATACTGCTGAGAATTCTCAAATGCAATGATCTTAATTATTGGCTTGGAAAAAGAATATCATGATTTAAAAATTGCAATACATGCCGAGGTATAAAAGAAAAGTAACCAATGGTAAACTTTAAAATTCTGCACTTATTTATTTTCCTTGCTGGATTAGGAGCTTAAATCCCATAACCAGTGATAAAGTTTGTAAAAAGGCTTCTTAATTTTATTTAAACTTCTTTTGGTGTCAGACTGTGTATGTTTACATGACCCTCACGGAGATTATTAAGAAATGCTGATTCTGTCCCATTCCATTTTTTTTATGACTTGTCAGCATAGTCATTTAATTTGAGGGTAACCTTACTCACTGAAAACCTTTGATTAGAATTCTTTAAATTTTTTTGAGATCTGTCCATGTTATACATGTTCGATATAATATTATGTGGAATTTAAAACATATTTAAAGTATTTAAGATGCATAAACTGGTTTGCAAGGTACAGAATACACTTGTAAGATTTCAGTACAGTACAACTCAGTTATACAGAACTCATTATAAAGAAATCTCGGATATAAGGAATTTTTATGAACCCCCTATGGGATTTGATAAAGATGTTTAAGGAGGTAAATTCCAAGTCCCAGTGACTAATTTTTACTGTAGATTAAAAATCATGAAAATTTTGGTAATTATATTTTTTATTCATCTTTGCCTAATTTCATGAGTTATGCATGAATTTAACATGTATCTAAAAATTATTAACCAGGGTGTCCAAGTACCATGTATATAAGTTTGTATGCATATTTTGATCATTTTTATGACATTTAATGTGCTCAAAATAAAGCATTTGGAAATGGCCAGACCTTTTGTGAATATCATTAATTTATTTGTCAGTCATGCCAGTATTTAGCACATCAGTCTAACAATTCACTAACATTTATCAATGAAATAGTTTTTTTAATTTAAGAGTATTGGTGAATCTGTATGTTGTTTGCCTATTTTTCCAAATGGTAACCATGCTTACTTTTGAATTAACTGGTTAATAAATCATGTTTTTTTTTAATTTTGCACCATTTGAAGTATTACATGTACTAACATGACTTAGCATGCAATATTTATAAGTAAGAAATATTTTCATATATGTTATGCATCCATTATGGTTGTGATTAAGTTATATTTAATATTTTTCTGTCGGAAATAAATATTCAGTCATGTGGAGAATTAAAATTTCTGTTTTCACTGACACACTAGTTATTGAACTTTATGGACATTCCATTTGTTACTTTTGTTGATTAAATCACTGATGCTATTTTGTCGTTGTTAAAATTTTATTGTCTCAGGTTGAATTGAAGTGTTTGTATTGAATCCACTTTACGTTTTTAATACAGCAAAAGTACATTCAATAGTTTATCATACATATTGTAATACATCTGGTTTTCCCATTGTAAAAAAATGATGATTCATACAATATTGCTAAGAAAGTTTAAATTGCTGAAATATGGGAATACTTTGTAACACTTCCTGTCAACAAACAGAAAAGTGCATCTCATAATTACTCGTATATTAGTCTATTTACACTGTATCCTTGAAAAAAAAAAGAGGTGTGTATGTTGTTAGCTTAAATGCATGTAATCAATGAGCGTATATACATGTATGTCGTAGATATCACTAAATGTTTGGATGCTAAAGACAAAACGAATTATATCCATGTGATTTATATATATATTCCATTTTCCCCAAATTTTTTATCGCTGTTGTAAACTTTATTTCATTACATAGACAGGTGATAAAAAATCTTAAAAACTTGACAGGGTTTTGTGTTACATTTCAAGTTGATCTCAGATAAATTACCAAGATTAGGATTGAATTGCGAGACCAACATTTGAAAAATGCCAGTAGCATATTATTATTTTTTTATTTTTAGCATGTTTAGTATTAGAGAAAAACAAACGAGACTTTTGAACAACAACAGCTTTAGAATTTGAAGGTCCACATAGAAACAATAATTTGATATTAGAATTATGTTTACTTGAGAATTAGCATTCATTTAGTTAGGCATGTTGGGAATTGGGAAGGAAGCGGACCATATGGGGCATACAACCCTCATTATGAAAATAACCCTTTCAAAAAGAAATCGGTCCAATGGGAACTTGAAAGAAGATGACGTTTACCATTCGAACCATACTTCCCAAGCTCTTTCTCCAACGTAACTCATTCTTTAAAATGTTAGACTTTTCAGTATCTTCCTTTTCATCTTAAAAAAAATGTCTCAAAGTGCATGAACATTCTGAAAACACAGGCAATTTTTGTCATTAAAAATCATTTTCATAATTTTTTGGGATTTTCCATATTCCCCTTTGGTTGCAGACTGTTACCCTAAAAATTCTGTAAACAAGTCAACTTGGACAATAGCTACCAGTATTGTATGTGACCTCTTTTGTTCAAATATATTTGAGGTAATATTTTTTCGAGTGTTTTTTGAAAACTCCCCCAGATACACAGAAGTTTTTTATGCTTTACTGATTTTGCAGTAACAATACAATATCATTGTTAGATTCAATATGAAGAATTTGGATAAACAATTGGGCCAAGCCAATTGTTGACTTTATTGCTCAAAAACTTAAATGAAAGAGTATATTATTTTCATGTTTGTGGATGAATTCTGTGTTGCAATAAATAGGAGATTTTTTAAATTGTCAATTGCATTTTTAAAAGTCCTTTTGTGGTTGAATTCTTGTTTCAATAGATTGGATACAATTGTAAATTGTAGTTTTTGAAGTCCTTTAAGTTTTCGAATTTACACATTTATGCAGCCGAAAAAACTGCTACCTTGCTAAAAATATTGCTGTGAAAGTCATAGATCACATTTTTATTGCTACATGTGTTTAATTTCTTAAAATCAAAACAATGAAATAATCTTGCGAAAAGGGGCGGTTTGGGGGGGGGGGGGGGGGTTGTAGGTATTGTATGAGTAGGTAATTTTGATTTTCCCGCATTAAAAAAGTGTATGATATTCTCTGTCCTTCATAACGTGGAGTTAAACTTGATAGGCATTTTTTCATATAAATTACAATTTTTAAAGGTAACTTGCTCGATCTCATATAGTTACATGTAAACTCGCATGTGAGTAAGTTGCATGTAACATGAAATTCTTCCAAATTTATATACATCTGAATAGCTGACCAAAGATTTATATGTGAGTACGTTTGGGATTAAATCTTTTTAAGCAACATGTATAAAAAGATCCTATCCGATGAAAAAAAAAAAAAAAAAAAAAAAAAAAAAAAAAACAAGGAAAAAGTTTGAAATAAGTCAAACACTAAGTATGAAAAACAAACTGGGCTCTAGTATCTGTTATAATTGCGTTTGATTCGGTGTACACCAAGCAGATCATATTTTACAGTTGGCCTTAGTGTGTTTTTCTTATGTCGGATAAATTATTTTAAAAATTTATCTAGGCCATCATCTCAATATCTTCATGTTTAGAGGGGAACTTCTATGCTTCTATTTGTGTTGTGACTATATGAGTAGAGTTCAAAAATGAGGATTTTTGTTTCGTTTCAAGCAACAAGAAAACAATTTTACGCCTTAATTTATGATATATCTAATATATATTGTTAGGGTTTTTTCCCATCCCAGAACATGATGAATTTAATGTCAGTTGTTAATTCAGAATGTCAGTCAGTATTTATGGCAAGTTTTATGAAAGACTATCATTTTACTTCAGTGTTTATGATTTGTTCTTACAAGATGTATTTTTACTTTTCATTTGTTCAGAAATCAAAACTATATGGCTAAATCTGTTTGGAACTTTTAACGTAATTTTTGTATTTATATGAAGAGGATTTTGTTTCATTCATTTGATTACTTAGTCAAGAGGCTGGAGTGTTTTTTTTTTCATTTTATCAAGCATGCATGACCACAATTTTGTTTGCACTTGCTTTACTTTTTTGTCAAGAAGCGCCATCCCTAACCATATTTGCACAATCATTGCAATGTCGTTTTGTTACTTTGTTATGACTAAATATATTTTTCTATGATTAAACAATGCTTGAATATTGGACTTAATTTGTTTAAAAAAGATTGGTATCATATTAAGTTTATAATATCACATATAAACTTGAAAGAAAAAAGAATAATTATGTAGACCAGAATGTTTTAACTTAATATACCAGTCATGAGCATAGAGGTTTTTGAAGAAAAAAGGTACAGTCTAAAGCATGGAGCTTTAGGCTACAATTTTACATTAAACAGACTTCGTAGAAGATGTGGAGGGTGAGGCATTTGAACAACGAACGATAATTTTATGTAGTAGTACCTCAAATTAGCCTTCAGCTCGACATTTAGATATATCGAGGAGGTATTATCAATTAACAATTATAGCTACTTCCATTAATATCTGGACTCGATATATTCCAGTGAACTTGAAATAAAAGATTTCACAAAGTCTGACACATCGGATATTTTACTAGAAAAAGACGTAAATGGTATAACCTAACAACAAAACTTTATGATAACGTGATGACTTCAACTTATCTATCGTCAACTTTCCTAACTTATATAATATATATACTCTTATCCCCTGTATATGGGGTTTATATCTCCCAGTTGATTCGATACGCAAGAGAATGCTCCACGTACGAACAAATTTCTAAAACGAGGCAAGCAAATGACAAACAAGTTGATGAAACAAGAATATAAAGAGTCTCCTATAAATTCACCAATTTGCAAGTTCTATTGTTGATACAATGACCTTG